TCGTTGCAACATGTCCGTCGCAGAACCGTGTTGCAGGTCGATGTTATTGAGGAGTTGGTCTAACCTTTGTCTATCGGTTAGGTCCCCGCGCTTAAGAATAGAACGTTTCAGAGTTTCGTAAGGTTCAGAAACATCACTAGTAAACATACTAGTTGTTACGTACGGTAGTGCCTTGACTACTGCGAGGAATTGTTCACGTGTGTCGATCACGCCGTGCTCGGAGAAGTCGGCTCCCGCGTAACGAAACCAGGCTTCGATGTTGTCTGGCCAGAAGGGCATCAGTTGAAACGAAGATGGGGACAAAGTCTTAAGCTTAAATATTTTGGGTGTCTGTTCAGTCATGATGAAATATGAAGTACGATAATGAACGTGGGAAAAACTATATATATCTCCAAAAAGCACGAAAAAAATTACAATGTATGAACGAAGAATATTCTTTCCAGTAATTTCTCATCAGGTTCTACAATTATAAATCCAGATTAATAATCCATAAAACTGGCCAGATTTAAGGCAAAATACATCATCATTTGGAAATTGTAATATGTGAATCAGGAATTGTTTGTTATATAAAAATAAAATAAAATCGTTAATGTTGGGGCTGACTAATATGAAGTGTTAACTTGAAACGGTTTATAAGCGAAATGAAATTGTGAGATAAATTATCAGAATAAATATGGTCAACATGGGGTAAGAGAGAGAGAGCGAGAGAATATTGTGATTACAAACCGGAAATTGCGCAATATGTAAAATAATCAGGTCAAATATAGTAGGTTCAGGGGTGGATATTAAATAAATTCCTCAAAAAGGGTTTGTCAAGTGTAAAGACAATAATAGTAATAATAATAATAATAGTAATAATAATAATAATAAGTTTGGGACATAAACTGAACATTAATCAGATTATGTCACCACATTATAAGATTGATTATTAGCTAGTTGGCCAGGGTAAAAGTAGAGGCTGAACATACTTCTTTTGGATACAAAGCTCTGGCTTTTTGATCCGAATAGCAATTGCTTCAGCCGTCTGTAGGATCCGCAGTCTGACGGAATTAGGTAGACTGCTGTTGACACGATAAACTATTGCAAAAGATTGCTCCATGTTGGCTGTACGTCCTGTTTGAACTAAATGGTCTAAGATGGAGCTGTTAACAGTTTTGACAACACCTTTGCTTAACCACACGGGTAGGTGCTCACGAGCCCGAATGTACAAATTCCTAGAACATCTGCCAATATAACTTGCTCCACAGGAGCAGTTGAATTGATAGATACAGAAGGAGGTGGCTAGTCTAGGTAGTTTATCTTTCAACCTCGGAGTGATTATTGGTCGTGTGGAGAATACTGGTTGTAGTTTAGCTGCGTTGAAAGTTCTTTGAATTGTTCCACTCAGAGAAACTGTAGAATATATTTGTGAACAACTTAGAGAACAGGAACTAGAAACGACAATCCCTGTAGAGACCATCAAAGAATTATTACTAAAATGCACTATGAATGTACATTTCAAATTCAATGGGGAAATCTACAGACAAATAGATGGCGTCGCGATGGGTTCACCCCTGGGTCCCATATTGGCAGACATTTTCCTTTCTAAACTAGAAAACGGCCCACTGGCACAAGAGATCGATAAGTTTCCATTGTACTGTCGATATATGGATGATACATTTATCCTTTGTAACGAGCGTACGGACTTGATAAGAACACTCGAGCAATTCAATACAGCTCACCCGTCCATAAAATTCACATGTGAGAAAGAAAATGGGGGTAAAATAGCCTTCCTAGATGTTCTGCTTACAAGGAGAAAAGATGGATCGCTAAAAAGAAACATAAACAGGAAAATGACCTGGACGGGTCAATATACTAACTTTTTCAGTTTCGTTCCTCTACAACAAAAAAGGAACCTTATCAAGACACTACATCATAGAATCAAGACTATATGCACTATGGATACGATTGAAGATGAAACAAAGAGATTGTTTACAACCCTGAAAGAAAATGGATATCCAGAGAAATTTATAAATAAAAACTTAGCCAATAAAAGACAGCGTAGAGAATGTCCAACAGTAAATAGAAAGCCTCTATATATACGCTTACAATTCAGAGGAGACGCGCCGAGTGAAATGTTAAGACTTAAGTTAGGTAGATCAATTCAAAGGACTTTCAACGCAGCTAAACTACAACTAGTATTCTCCACACGACCAATAATCACTCCGAGGTTGAAAGATAAATTACCTAGACTAGCCACCTCCTTCTGTATCTATCAATTCAACTGCTCCTGTGGAGCAAGTTATATTGGCAGATGTTCTAGGAATTTGTACATTCGGGCTCGTGAGCACCTACCCGTGTGGTTAAGCAAAGGTGTTGTCAAAACTGTTAACAGCTCCATCTTAGACCATTTAGTTCAAACAGGACGTACAGCCAACATGGAGCAATCTTTTGCAATAGTTTATCGTGTCAACAGCAGTCTACCTAATTCCGTCAGACTGCGAATCCTACAGACGGCTGAAGCAATTGCTATTCGGATCAAAAAGCCAGAGCTTTGTATCCAAAAGAAGTATGTTCAGCCTCTCCTTTTACCCTGGCCAACTAGCTAATAATCAATCTTATAATGTGGTGACATAATCTGATTAATGTTCATTTTATGTCCCAAACTTATTATTATTATTATTATTATTATTACTATTATTGTCTTTACACTTGACAAACCCTTTTTGAGGAATTTATTTAATATCCACCCCTGAACCTACTATATTTGACCTGATTATTTTACATATTGCGCAATTTCCGGTTTGTAATCACAATATTCTCTCGCTCTCTCTCTCTTACCCCATGTTGACCATATTTATTCTGATAATTTATCTCACAATTTCATTTCGCTTATAAACCGTTTCAAGTTAACACTTCATATTAGTCAGCCCCAACATTAACGATTTTATTTTTATATAACAAACAATTCCTGATTCACATATTACAATTTCCAAATGATGATGTATTTTGCCTTAAATCTGGCCAGTTTTATGGATTATTAATCTGGATTTATAATTGTAGAACCTGATGAGAAATTATTGGAAAGAATATTCTTCGTTCATACAATTGTGTTTTTAATATAATGGGAATTTTTCATCAATTAAAATTACAATGCATAAAAAATTAACATAACGTAATGATATATAGAATCACAATATGGAACAGACTCACAGTTTGCGATTTGGTGTGCCATATCACGTTAGGCTCACTAATGAAGATGGCACAGGTATTCAGTGTTTGACAACGCTTTAACAAATAACACCTGATATAACTCGTACCCACCAAGAGAAATCAAAAGACAGAATCGGGGAGATTGGAAGATATGTTTTGATGTGATATCATTATATCAAGAGACGTCTGATCTAATCTGGCTAGCGATTGCAATAGATGTTGAGCACGGCGTGCCCACTCGCGATCTGCTGTGGATGCATACCGAGCGCCTTCACCTAGGTGAGTCCATTAAAACATGTGGTCAACATCCAATGTCAAAAACTTACAGAGCTATTTACTTTGGGGATTTATTTACCGCTACAATCTTGAGACTACGACCTACTGCCGAGAGTATGCACTTGAGGAGATGAGAAACCTATGGTATTTCGGACTGACATTCACCAAGCTAGATACCACTATGTTCACCACAGTATTCACAATTTTATTGAGAACTAAGCTTGAAAACTGCATACAGGCTGCACGTCCCTGTTTTAAAGTTGACTTGAATATCCTTGGTAAATTACAGAGGGCAGCTACTCGTGCAACTCGAAAATCCTGAGGTTTACCTTACAAAAAGGGCTTGAAATGCTAGACTTCTTTACTCAGTCTCACCTCAGATTAACAGATGATCTGATTTTGATGTATGGAATAGTAATAAATAATTTTAGACCAAATATATCTTCTCTTTTTCTTAACACTAGATCGTGACATCTCAGAGGATATAGGAGGCAAGTAGAAAAGCCTGATGATGTCACAGGTATTCAGTGTTTGACAACGCTTCCACCAGTAACACCTTCTAATATATTTCGTTCCCACCAAGAGAAATCAAAAGACAGAGTCCAGGAGATCGGAAAAGTATATTTGGCGATGACAATATATCGGAATTCTCTGATCTAATCTGGCTAGCGATTGCGGTTGATGTTGAGCACGGCGTTACCACACGTGATCTGGTACGGATGCCTGGCCGAGCGCCTTCAGCTAGATGAGTCCACTAAAACATATGGTCAGCATCCAATGTCGAAAACTTACAGGGCTATTTATTTTGGGGATTTATTTACCGCTACAAGCCATGTCAGTAATGCAGAGGTTCGGCATCGTGTGTTCGGGCACAGAGATGATAATCCAATTGGTGTCACCATCTTGAAACACCGACTTCGGTGGCTTGGACATGTTCTACGAATGTCGTCCCAGAGAATTCCACGTCGTGCATTATTTGCCGACTCTAGGACTGGTTGGAAGAAGCGGAGAGGTGGTCAGTGCATGACACGGTGTCGTGGTATGAAAGAAAACTCTACAAGACTGGCTTCTGTTGGTCCTTCACGACTCCCTGGTTGGGGTCCGAGAGATGGTGCTACACAGTGGCTAGAGACGTTATCAGATATGGCTCAGAATAGAAGCCAGTGGCGATCCTGCTGTAAGCTTCTTTTACTTTCTTCATAAAAAGTGGTTGTGTCTCCCTTACCTGAAAGATTTCTTCTGACTGTACCTTTCCGTTCCCTCGTTACTACCACACTACCTTACTCCAATCTCTTCGTTATTGTTCTCTTTTTCTTTTGCGCTCCTTAGTTTTTTTTCTATTTCTTTTCGAATTCTCATTGTTTTGTGTGGTGCATATATATTGGCGCTCTCTTGTACCAATATTCATGTGTTCAAATAAATAATAAATAAATATAACAAACCAAGAACGAGCAAATTATCCTTTGCATATCGGTTTTCAAACCGAGTCATCAATTGTTGGAATCTGTCTCCTGAAGCATTGTTGTAGGCACCTTCATTAACCCGCTCAAGAGGAAGCTAGGCGTTCACAGAAGCATAATGGAGAAGAAGAAAAATGAGCTATAAGCCTTCTGTTCTTACTACACAAATCTAAATCTGTGAATTGAATTTTGGAATATTTACGTTGTTGCTAGTTCTTAACTACTTGTCTCAAATTAAAAAAACTCAAGACGTTACCGGATGTAAGTGTAAAAGCTATAAATAAATACGTATTTTGCATTATTCACAAACATTTGATACAGTTCGTTTAAAATCATAAAGTGAAGGTCAGAGTTCATCTGGTGAATTAAAGCGCTTGAGAGAAAACGTCTTAGGTTGTATATATATATATATCTTGATAAAAACGTGATTTTCAGGATTGGATACTCGTATAAACTATTTATATGGCTCAAATTAGTGTTAATGGGACCAAAGCAGTAAGTGACAATGGAAATCAATCTACTGACGATGATGTTATCCCCACAAGCATCTTCCATTGGAAGTGTTATGAAGGTTACCTCAGGACATTTCCTGCAATGATTAAGTTATGCGAACTATTGTGTATCTTCATAGCATTTATCATCAGTTTCTTGGATAAGAATTTCCTATCAGTTGGTGGTTCATGGCTGACCGTAACAACTGCGTTATCATTCATTGTCACCGCATTTTTCCTTGTCTTCCATCTCTTTCTTCTGCATCGTTTTATTGCGGCTCCTTGGTGTCTAATCGTGAGTGCTACTAATTTATAATAATTACATCAGGAACTTGCTGCCTATGTTATCGTATGCATACTTGTGTTTTCAAATGGAGTACTGTCTGCAGCATATTCTCATTTAAGTGGTATTATAATAGCAGAAACGGTAAGACCAAAACATAGCCGTTTTTAGAGTCCGTTTAATACGTATTAGATATGTTAGTAGTGAGATTGATGGAATCGGTTCGCTTCTTTTCGTTTTAGAAAGTCTTCTCTATGTAGTAGACGAATTTAAAGATCTAGCTGCCTCCGTCTTCTGTAAAAATAATAAGTTGGTTGACCCTATTGTTTTCTATATTAAAAGGTGCAATAATGAAACCGCTAAGGACGTATGAGACAGGTATTGTCTCACACGTATATTTCCGACAGTAACATTCTTTATTTGTCTATGCTTAAAAAAATTTCTAGCTGTTCAGTCAGTTATCTTATTCTAGTTGTTTTAGAGAGCATTGATATTAATCGGACCATTCACCCCTCAAATTTTAAGGTCTACGGATACCAGAGACTGATTGCATTTACTTGGTAAGTCATTGAATAAAGAGTTCAAGGTTAATAGATCCGATAGCTTGACATTTTGATACTTACAGTAAGACGTTGGACTCGTCCGTAATTATGTTAGGGAATGAAGTGGGTTGCAGTCTCCACATGAAGCAATCTTTTAAGCAATAAAACATGTACCCATTAGTTCCTTTTTAAGTTGAGTACTATACGATCTACCCTAATGTCTTCGAGAAGTCTGGTAGTCCCGAATTCGTGACTCATATGTTAGCCTGTTAATATTCAACTTTTTTAAGTCACTGGTTAATAATACGAGATCTTTTTCTTTTTCAGATTTTCACCTTCATGGCTCTCGCTATTTATACAGTCGACAGTTTAGTTGCCTTCAAAATTTTTACAGCTGGGCGCTATTACGATTAAAGTGTGCTATCTCATGATTAAGTATTCTGTTGTTCGCTTGTAATTTTAGACAGTCCTTAATGCAATTCTTAAGATGTCCTTGTTCACTAACTTACCGCTTCATATTAAAAATTTTAAGATTTCAAATTACGATGTAACATTCAAGAAACCTGACTTCAGTATTCTTGAACTGTTTTTACCACATAACTACAAAATAGATCTGATCCTGTTTGGCATAATAATATCAAGCAAGAAACCTACATACCGACTTACACAGAGGTTTTGTTCTTTGTTTGCCTTAACTTAGTTAACATCGTTTTAAGCTTATCAATACAGTATTTAAATTATTCCTGTCACTAAAGATTCCCCGGAAGCACATAACAAAAGACAAGTCCTCTTTCTGTTTTGCCGTCTTACTGGTTTACATAGGACGAAGCATTTGATGACTCCCATATAGTGGCTTAACTACTTTTATTTATTTAAACACATAAATACCAGTACAAAGAGGCACCAAATAGATGTGCCACACAAATCATTCAATTTCTGTGAGGGCTGGGATGCTGCCCAGGTGCCTAAACTGAAGCAGGTGGTTTCCTTAGGGGGAGCCTTCGACCTAAAGGTCTGATCCACAAGACAGTGGAGCAACGTCAGAGGATGCAGTCCAATGGCAGTCGGTGACCAACAATAGGTTCATACACTATTTGTTCCGTCAGGATACTGGAGCCCAAATAAACCATTGGTTTGGAATCAGGGTTTCCCAACTCCTCTAGGTGTACTCTCCATGTCCACCAAGCCGGTTAAAGCGCCGGACATTAGCTTTTCATCCTCTCAATTTCGTAAACAACAGTAATGCCGCAAACAGGCAGTGAGTAGGACTTCCCTGGCAGTGGTTGTATGCACGTGGCCATGTGAGAGTATTTCGAGAGGGAAAGCTGATTCGAACGTTCAAAGGAATTTGGGGACTTAACTACTACCAAACAAATGTAAACTTGAGTTTGGTAATAGTTCTCATATATATAAGCAGAATACAAAGATCGTTAGCCTATCTAGCATTCGAGTGAAAACCACTATAACGTGTATACTTGTGACAAAGCAAACTGAGTGCAACAAAATTTTATCATCAGATATCGAAAATCCACGGGACCAGAATTAGGATTCGTAGTCGGAAACAATTTTAAAGCGCTTCCTAACGCTGAAAAGTTATGACGATGAATATCAACTCATCACGATTGAAAACCCAGTGTGTATTCCAGTAAACATCTCACGGCTAGTAGCAAACATGCTTGATTTTAGTGGTTCTACGTATTATATGAATTCATGCACATATGACTACATGGTAAGATAAAGGTGAATACTGGTTAATAATTACGAGTGAACATAATGATCTGATGGTAGGTAAAGCACACTTTTAAACAGGATTCTTCACCAGCCTTGTAAGTGGTGATAGATGAGACAGAATTAAATTGGATAAACTAAGGCGAACTAGAATAGTCTTTGAATTCGTCTTTTGGTATTTAGAGCCACTTGCGTTCATGTTTGAGATCTCAGAAATAAGAGTTGCTGATCATAGTCCAGAACGGGTTACAATTAAACGTGCGATCGTACCACTTTTAGATAACTATTATTACTATCAATTTTTTGTACATTTAAAACGTGCTTCAAAAACCGCTTCCATACGTTTGAAATAATACTCATCAAAATGTGCGAATTTTATGAGTTGAGAATAACTGTTTAGCTTTTTCTTACTGTGTTTGTTTTCATAAGCAAACACGCTCAAAATCATATTCAATATGTAGGAAATTACACCCTCAAGGTTGAAGGTTTTCACTCCTTATGTTTACGCAGTCAATATTACAAACTAGTCACTAGCTGAAATCTTTCCTAAAACTACAAATCTGTGTGAACATACCACATCTAGTAACGTATCACTTATCCCTTTGAATAAATGTAAAACCATGGTAAGGAGGTCGTTGGGAAAGAACATTGATGGAATCATGTCTTGGTATTTCTAAGCGGGTATATTTATTTAATCAAAATTTGATCTTGGAAATTTTAGCTTGAAGATTTGTTTCTATACTCAGCATTCCCATCTTCCCAATTAGTTTTAGAGTTGAGTGTACATTTTAAATCTATAGTGATGAGCGGACGAGATTTATGTTCGTTTTCATCTATTGGATAACTCTGACATTCCAAACAATGCTCAAGAGCATTAAATGAACTGAGACCCAATACAAAATTTAGAATAAAAATTAACGGCTTCAGATCGTTTTCCCTTCCAATTTGAACAGCTTTAGGAGAAGGAGACCAAAGCCTTTTATTTGCAATTTATGTAGTTGATTTTTTTTATTTTTGTCTCCTTCGTATTCTCGTGAGTTTTCATCGTTTTCTGGTGCATATAACGTGATGCTAGCATTGTAATAAGTTTGTTTAGATAAGAAATAATATACGTAATGTGTGAGTATTTCAAACTACGAAGAATCAAAGTATAAGACATCATACGTTTGATTAGTAAAAATAATAATTCTAAATAAGTATGGGATATTTTACCAAAACTCTATCAAGCATGGGTTACTTTTACTAACCATTCACTATGCAAAGGTTTGTAGCATTTATACATCAAGGAGTTTAGGAATTTATGTTTACCCACAATCCACGAAATTTAAATCTCATACTCTCAGGGAGTTGTTAAGGACCAGGTACCTTGATCACTGTACATAAATAAGTCGACAAAGCATTTTCTTGGCACATTTCTTAACGCTGGGAGTTTAGTAAAAATACATTTATTTTGATGAAAGCTAGGTATTTTACATAGAAATTAAAAATAAAGTAGTAAATTATAAACTAAGAATGAAGGATTATTAGGATATTAATTATGTAATTCTAATACATTTAGAGAATCATATTTACCACACGGTATAGTTGAGATTGGCGCTCAAGTGTCTTCAAAGGCATTTATGATATGAGACATATTTTAAACAGTTCAGCAGTTTGGAAATATTATCTGCATACTTGTAATATGATTAGATCAGTAAAAAATCGATCCAGATAACGGAATAAAAAATTATACGAAACCAGATGTTGGGTATTACGTTAATTTTGAAACGAAAAATCGTTCTGCAGAGCTGTGATGCTGTTTTAAATGGCTGGTTAGTATGAAAATATACTTTTGCAAAGCGTTTGCACTAGAGTTACAAATTCACTGTCACGACTTATAAAGATCTGTAGATTTATGCTAAGGAAGAAATCAAGATACATCTGGTTAATTAAAAACACTGCTATTGTAGAGGTAAAGAACCCGGAAAGTTGGACTGAACCCTTGGTTAATCTTTTTAGCTTTCACCAACTGAACAAAACAAGAGGCAATAAACCTAGAAGACAACCAGTAGTAATGCCGACGATCCGTCCCTAGAAATAAAGGAATATACTTTATGAGTGTTAATAATCAGTCTTAATTCCAATTACAAATAACACAAACTTAAAACAATTTGAAGTATTTTACTACCGCAAGATTATTTATAATGCTGGGAATTTAGCACATCGGTTGCAGTATTGACACATGCTAACAGTCAAAATAAGAGGAATTATCCACTAAAAGAAAAAGACACTACACTTCATTAGAAACTTGGACCTGTAATACGATCAAAAATCACTGGTTTAACCAAGTTTTACCGCTTGTGGGATCTAAAACCTGATTACCATATATGGTCATAAACAACATAAGAGCAGGAAGTAGTGTACACTGAACTAAATCCCCATGACACACATGCACAGCTCGTGGAAATTAACAAGATGTATAGCGGAGTAAAAGTAGTATTGGTGTTCATGACATATTTCGAAAAAAAGAATATGAAGAATAATGTTACATTCCAAGATCTAGATGACGGGAAATGGATGCAACTAACTCACTGTAATCGATCCGAACCCTTGAAGCCAAGATATGTAATTGACACGAATTTTCATATTTTGTTCATAAAATTCCTTTTTCAACGAGCTTCCCATGAAGCAATCGAAAAACGAAATCTCCTGTTCATAACTTTCATGGTTTTTCTATTGGACTTAAGAGTGCTTATCAATTCGACCATTTCTCTCACTGAGGTGAAATACATAATGTAAGAATACCCGACCAACCAATTCATTGTTATGACGAAGGGACCATGATAATCTAATTCAATCCATTTTTTGGCAAAAAGGATTCGTCTTTTAGCCGATAGCCTAGGAACATATAAATCCCTACAAAATTCCTTGGTTTAAGCTACATTCCAGAGAAAGCCTATGAGCACTATACGAAGAAAATTCTTGGCTTTGCTTAGTGGTCTTGGATGATTACCCTATACCATATACCTATAGTCAACATTGTTAAAGCGACCAATTTACTACATCTGGTAGAAATTTAAGATAACGTGTAAAGACAGGTAGACGTTTTAATGTCCTAAATACACCTGTTTTACGATTTGCGTTAAAGCTGAGGACAGTAAGCTCAGATGGTGCACATGACTTAAGAACAGTCAGGGTAAATCTCATGGCGAAAACGATCCTCACGGACGCAAAATCAATCAAAGCTTTTAATAATTACGACTGTACAGTGCAAATTTTACGGAAAACGAATGAAAAAGATTGATGGATTAGGTGTTCATAATATGTGAATTAAAGTTGTCAGAGTTACATAATAAATAAGTATTCTTTACGGTTGGATAGAGTACTGCGCTTTTGTGACCGGCGATTTTCAAATGAATAAAAGGTGGAGTAGGAAGTCATCACAAAACATGAATCAACGAATGTGGCAGTTACGTTGGAGTTACTTACTTACGCCTGTTACTCCTCGTGAAGGAGCATAGGCCGCCAACCAGCACTCGCCATCCAACCCTGTCCTGGGCAATCATTCCCAGCTCTTTCTAGTTGTTATTCATGCTTTTCATATCTGTTCTTTGGCCTTCCTTTTTTCAGCTTCCCTTCAGGATTCCAAATTACGACTTGACTCGTGATGCAGTTTGATGATTTCCTCAATGCGTGTCCTATCCATTTCCATCGTCTTTTCCTAATTTCCTCTTCAGATGGAAGCTGGTTTGTTCCCTCTTACAGAAGGCTGTTGCTGATGGTATCCGTCCAACAACGGACATTGAGTATCCTGCGTAGACAGCTACTTATAAATACTTCTACCTTCTTGATGATGGTTGTAGTAGTTCCCCAATCGTCAGCTCCGTGCAGTAGAACTGTGTTGACGTTGGTATTGAAGATTGTAACTTTGATATTGGTTGAAAGTTGTTTTGAGTTCTATATGTTCTTCAATTGTAGGGATGCGGCCCTTGCTTTCCTAATCCTCTCCTTTACGTCTGCATCTCAACTTCCTTGTTCATCGATGATGCTTCCCAGGTATGTGGAAGATTCTCCATTAAGTGTGATTGGATTGCTGTTCTCCGTGTTGTATTCGAGGACCTTGGTTTTCCCTTGTGTATGTTGAGGCCTATTGATGCAGAGACTGCTGCTATACTGGCTGTCTATCCGCATTTGTTCGTGTGTATGCGATAGGAGGGTTAGGTCATTTGCGAAGTCCAAATCGTCTAATTGATTCTGAGCTGTCCATTGTACGTCGTGTTTCCCTTCAGATGTCGAGGTCTTCATAATCCAGTCGACCACCAGAAGAAAGAGGAAGGGAGAGAGTAAACAGCCTTGTCTGACTCCAGTCCTTACTTGGAATGCATCTTTCAGCTGTCCTCCATGCACGACTTTGCATTGTAGTCCGTCGTATGAGTTCCGGATAATATTGACAATCTTCTCAGGAACTCCGTAGTGTCGAACAAGTTTCCATAACGTCCTCCTATCCACACTGCCAAATGCCTTTTCATAATCAATGAAGTTGATGTATAGTGACGAGTTCCACTCAACTGATTGTTCGACGATGATCCGTAGTGTTGCAATTCGGTCTGTGCACGATCGATCCTTACGGAATCCAGCTTGTTGATCTCGAAGTTGGGCGTCCACTGCATCTTTCATCCGGTTCAGCAACACTCTGTTGAAGACTTTCCCTGGTATTGACAGTAGTGTAATGCCTCTGTAGTTTTCACATTTGCTCAGATCTCCTTTCTTTGGAATCTTGACGAGGTGCCCTTCTTTCCAGTCCATCGGCACTTAATCCTCCTCCCAAATCTTCTTGAATAGAGTATGAAGCATGTTTGTAGTTACTTCGATGTCTGACTTCAGTGCTTCAGCTGGTATGTTGTCGGGTCCTGCTGCTTTCCCGTTCTTGATTTGTCTGGCGGCCATTCTGATTTCTTCCTTCGTTGGTGGGTTGACGTCTATAGGAAGATCTGTGTGTGCTGCTTCGATGTCCGGTGGATTCGTTGGAGCCGGCATATTCAGGAGTTCCTCGAAGTACTCTACTCATCTGTCCCGCTGTTGTTGAATTTCAGTGATTGGCTTGCCTTCTTTGTCTTTGACTGGTCTTTCTGGTTTACTATATCTCCCTGCTAGTTTCTTCGTTGTATCATACAACTGTTTCATGTTTCCTTCTCTTGCAGCTTTTTCCGCCGTCATTGCTAGTTCTTCCACGTATTTCTTCTTGTCGGCTCTAATGCTCCTCTTCACTTGTTTGTTTGCTTCTATGTATTCAGCTTGTGCTTGGACTTTCTCTGCTCGTGTTCGGCTGTTGTTTATTGCTGTCTTCTTGTTCTTCCTTTCTTTGATCTTGTCCAGTGTTTCTGTAGAGATCCACTCCTTATGATGGTGTTTCTTTAGGCCCAGAACCTCTTGACACGTCGAAGTTAATGCTTCCTTGATGCCTTTCCAGTTGTCCTCCATAGTAGTTTCTTCTTCCTTCAGTAGATGCTGTAAGGCTTGGAACCTGTTGTTGAGAGCTATCTTGAATTCATTGAGTCTGTCAGTATCTCGAAGGAAGGCTGTATTGAACCTTTGTATTGCTATTTGTCAAGTTGTCCAGTTCTTCTTTAGCTGCAGTTTTATATTGTCCACAACTAGGTGGTGATCTGAAGCTATGTCAGCTCCTCTCCTAGTTCTCACATCTTCCATTGTCCTTCGGAATTTTTTGTTGATGCAAATATGATCTATCTGGTTCTCTGTGGTGTGGTCCGGTGAGAAATATTGTGCTGCCTATGACCAATTTGTTGAATGCACACAGATTTGCAAATCTTTCTCCATTTTCGTTTCTTTCTCCCAGTCCATGTCGTCCCATGATACCTTCATATCCGACGTTGTCTATTGCGACTTTAGCGTTTAGATCTCCCATCAGAATAGTGAGGTCCTTTCTTGGCTAATTCGCTATGATTTATTGCAACCTATCGTGGAACTGATCTTTAATGTCGTCGTTGCTATCATTGGTGGGTGCATAACACTGGATAACATCTATTGTAATTTCCTTCGTCTTTGATGATTCTGGATCCGTGAGATTCTCATCCTACAAGTGCATTTCGTGCTAATTTGGACAGCATTAGAGCGACTCCCCGAGTGTGTGGAGCACTTTTCTCTTCGGGACCGGAGTAAAGCAGCATCTCTCCCGTATTTAGCCTTTGTTGTCCAGCTTCGGTCCAATGGGTTTCGCTGATTCCCAGTACTGCCAAGTTGTATCCCTCATTTCCGTTGCTATTTCACTGGTCTTCCCGGTCTCCCACATTGTTTGGACGTTCCATGTACCTATAAAATTTGTTGCTCTGGTTGTTAGAGAAAACATCGGCTTCGTGGCTTCCGAAGGAAGTCGGCTTTCACCATGAGGCGTCCTAGTTCTAAATGACGACCTTCTAACTCCCAGGGCAGAGTTTAAGTGGTTTGAATTAATTTTTTCTGGTTAGCGTTTTTTAGCGGGTTGGTTTTCTACTGGATGGGTTCGCTAACGCCATTACCAACCCTCCTCCTTTACCCGGGCTCGGGACCGGCAGTAACTCTAGAAGAGCTACAGGCGGAGTTTTACGTTGGACTTAGGATATGATAATAAGCCTGAGTCTGTGTGGGAGTCTGTTGAAGTTATTTCCGGATTTCCTGATATTTTATTCAAACAAATAACACTAAATGCAACCTAGTGACCAAATAAAGATGCGGGATTTGGGCGAAACTGGTTTGAAAGCGTTAATAATAATACCAAGTAGCTCAAAACAAAAAAGGTATTGTAAGGCATGAGCCTGAAACATAATAATTGAAGGTTCAGTGCTGTAAGCACTGTGGTATAAGTTTGCACTCGACAAATGTATTGATTTTAACTAGCATGTTTATAAGCAACTTTGAGAACGACGCTTGAAAAACATGATATACCTGAATGCAGTAATTAGAACTAACTTACTATTGCTATAGACCAGCGAACTGAACTGCTGGCTAGTTGGGATGCAGACAATGGGGGAACAGAAATGCCAATTTTTTCCATGAACTTTTCAACGTAGCCGACGAGCCTAATATAATAGTGGAAACATTTTCCTCTTTTACTCAAATGTTATTGGATTAAATGGGTCTAAACTAGACTCACAAATAATATAATAAGTTTATAAATGAATGGTGTTTTGTTGCTGCATCTAAAAAGAAAAAAAGCCTAGCTGTGATGATTTTGGAGAGGACTAAAATACACTCATACTTAAGAAATATACTACATAAATAAATTACGGTAAAAGCCCTTATAAATCATAAAAACAGTTCAGATATCATCCAATTGAAATGTTTACCAGTAGTAACATCCTCTGAATTTTAGCTGCCAATAATTTAATGAAAATACGTATTTATCTACAATATGATAAATCGAAAAGTTATTTTTGATATTCAACGGACGAGTTAAAATGTGAGTTATAAATAGGCTCTTAAAACCACCTATCACAAACCATATTTGTTTACAGGGTTGGAATTAACCACCACATTTAGGTTTAAGTAGTTCATCTGATCGGTGAAACTCAATTGACATGACTGATTCGTGTGAATAAGTCAAGAATTTTTTAGGTTTATAGGCCCCTGTCCTTTATTCACAATCCAGAAAAACCTTAAGATGCATTAGTAGTTAGACGCGTTAGTTAAGGGCTAGCAGTCTTAACACCGAGATTTTATATTTCTTGCAAATTGATATGACATGTATCCTAAGAAATTGTACAACACATAACAGTATGATAACACTAGGTTAGTGACACATTGCTAAGTGGAAATAAATGCATCGAAAGTGTCTGAAAACCATAAAAAATACTTAAGTTAACGATCAACTTTGAAGTCGAACTCATCATTTTTCTAGGCATCTTGATTTTTCAGCAATAACTTGAGACTTACAAAACCCATTCGTGAAAATAAATTCGGTGGTTTTAAAAGGAGAAATCCTCAAGATAAAAGATACTAGTTTTTTATTTAAATTCAGCAAGATACTTGTGTCCTCGAAATACCTGAACTATCTCCAGCCTAAATGACTGACACTGTTCAGATACGAAACATGAAGGCGGATTACAGTCGTCCGTAGCTTGAGTTGAGAAAATACAACGGGTTGTGTTTCTAGCCAAACAAAAAAAAACTAGCACAATAAACTCATTCTAACATTTTAAAACAACTCAGATTAGTTGCAATCGATCTGTTTCATTGAATCGTAGCTAAACTTTTAGTGCTTAAAACAAAGGGATATTTTTACTAGTTTAGAGGGAGAAAAGTCAAAATTTTCACTAATTACAAAACTAATTTACGAGTTAAATGAACCCAGATACTGGATGCATACTGAAAGCTGAGTTCAGAGACGCATCCAAATCAGATGAGATTACAAACTCACCCTATGCCAAAAGATCGGAAACAAGATTTCCTAGACCGGCAGCTAGAAACATGAAAATTATCAGAAATATAGGTACCAGCCATTGTCGAAATGCCCAAGAATGTTGCGAATTGCACGTCAATATACTCCCCCTATGCAAAAATGATGATTAAAAGCGACAGCTTTTAAACCTCACTTACAGCCACTATCATAATTGCATTATCCAGGAAACCAAATCCTATGAACGGGAGACAGTTACCTATAAAAACTAAGATACGATGCATATTCTGCTCTTTCTCGTAGACTCACTGCACTTAAGCTGCGCATATGTCAAATGGCTACCTCAACTTGTTGTGTACTCACTGAGGAGTCCGGTTTCTCTTGATGCACTTGGATAATTCTTGATACAGGAGCATTTTGTCGCTTGGTGACAATTTACTAAGAATTCTGCAAATCCATAAGTTCTCGGACCGCCGATTGAAACTTCCACATAACGGAGAACACTGAACAAGAGACTTCTATTTACAAAAGTCAAAACCCTTCTTCCAGGACAGACAAAACTTCTGCACCAAAACATGTAACGCAACGACTAATTTTGAGACATTCCAGTCAACAACCAATATCCGATGTCGCTTGTATGAAAACCGATCACTTTGTTTGCGCTTGCCTCTTATTGTTTCCTTAAGGTTTAACTTCTTTGGTAATGCGAAATGTAGGTATTCTGGCTACTCGACTGCACTAATCTAATGAGTTTGACAATTATTTGAAGGTTTGTATATCTTATAATCTAAGTGAGTAGTTTGTTTCACTCTTCAGTAATAAGGATAGAAGTCGGTGAATCTGTGGTAATCCTGACAGCTTGCTTTCCAGTGAAGGTTCAGCTTCTCCCCGAGAATCTTCGCTGATGAGGCAGATGCCACTTGTTCGGGTAAGGCGTTTCCATTGTGGAGATAGGCCTGACAACCGTATTTTGTAAATCGTTTTCAATGTTATTTGTATTTATTTTGTCAACCTTTCACTGTATATATATTTAACATTAAATGACTGTTTTCGTTTGTGATTGAGTTAGCTGAAGTCTAAATCAAATATTATCATTATTTATAGACTGTAATTGGAATATATCACATTCTAATTGGGATTATATCACTAGAGAGTTCGCCAACCTGCTCAGAATCACCAAGTATTTATAAATGTGGATTAAGATTACCAGACCCAATCAGAACACGCAACGTTTGGCCAATTTAAGTAACGTCCCAAATTTTTATTGTATTTGTAACAATTAACTGCATATATTAATATTACTATTGATCTTTCGTAACTTTGTTTATACTTTTCGCGTTCATATCTGTCCGGTCTCCCACACCATCATTGACTACTCGATGAGAAACGGGACCTAAGTTTAAGTTTATTAGATCGCGGTTTATGAACCTTCTTGCTATGACTTCGGAGATTATTAGTGCTGGAGGGAGCAAAAAGATAAGACAGATTAACACCCAAATAATATTTAAAGGTACGAAATACTAGTACAAGGTGACCTCGCGTCCTACGAGGCTAAAATGGGAAAAGGTTTAGGCGTTTAAAACGTTCGTCGTGAGGGAGTTCAGAAAGACCCTTCACTAATTTTGCTCCTACACACTGGACACGCTCAAGTGAGTCAGTATCCTTTACCAGACATGGGCTAGCTGCTTGGAAACATTACTCTAAATGTGGTCTTACATATGTGGGATATAAAGTTCGAAACATATCCTCGCCAAAAGATTTGAACGCTCGGCGAAGTGACCATATTGCACGAAAACCTTTGACAGCGGCTGCGTTGCAATGCGTAGTTGTTTATAAGTCATGCTGATGTGCATCAGCACAATTTTCCTAGAATTGATTTCTAAGTCCCAACCTCGAGCCCATCTAACTAACTTGTCTAAGTCAGCTTGGAGATCCAGATGATCAACCTCACTTTTTATTCTTCTCCAGATTTTCACGTCATCCGTTATCAATAATGTCGACAACCTAAGCAACAGTGGTAACTCATTAACGTAGAAAAGGAAGAGCAGAGGGCCTAAGATGGTGTCTTTGGGTACACCACTTTTGACCGGCTTCCAATCGGATAGCGTTCCATTGACTTTCACACTCTGCCTGCGGTCATATAAGAAGTTTCCTATCCACTCCTGTACAGTACCTATTATTCCGAAGCTCGTGAGATTCTGCATTAGACCTAAGTGTGAAACCTTGTCGAATGCTTTGCTAAAATCTATGAATATCACGTCGACAGACAGACACTTATCTGTCTGTCAGGACAATAGGCTTTTGGATACCGACATCTATCACAACATCAGGCAGGAGGTCGTTTGGTTGCAATGTAAACGGTAATATGGAGAAAATTCGAATGCTAAGAGGAGCTGGTTATTTCAAGGACTGATTATTTAGATAAGTTAGTTAGCCAATAACGCAGACAATGTCAGAATATCAACGTGCGACAATAAAAAGTGGGACAAAGATGATAATAAGTAAGATAGCATAATTCTGTGACATGTACTGATGCTAAAAGTGCATAAATTATGAGACACGCATCAGGCAAAACTAGTCAAAGTGTTTGTAAGGCCTGTCGCGTGTCAGTGGACCTAGCCAAATCATCCGGATGTCGACTCACTGAGTATCGAACAGTTCGCTGGTCATCCTTGAGGTCAGTGACAACCGACACGCATCAGTGCATCGCACGCCGAGAACTGGCCCATGTGGTTGTGATCGTACTCTTGCTAATATATCTCAGCAATAACGTCCTTTGTATTTTACAGTTTTCAATGCAATCGTGGTACCTTGACACGACATGACGAGTAATCCACGTCAAATGCTGCTCGCAAGGTGTGACTTCGAAGTCGACTGGTTCGTCGCACCATTGCCGTCTAACTCGAACAGTCATCCAATCGTACGACATAAATTATCTGCATCAGTGGTCTATATCAGAAGGGGTTTGTGGAGATCTTAGAAATTTCGCAGATTGAAATCTTGAGTCAATTGAAGCTAGACCACCATGGCGCAACTTCATGGATTGGTTGAAGTTAGACATTAACTCCACTGGATGCCGGCTCAGTGGTCTAGTTGGTTGAGCTCCTGGCGCGAGACCGATACTCAACATCCATTGGCCGGATACCATCAGCAACAGCCTTCTGTAAGAGGGAACAAACCAGCTTCCATCTGAAGAGGAAATTAGGAAAAGACGATGGAAATGGATAGGACACGCATTGAGGAAATCATCAAACTGCATCACGAGTCAAGTCGTAACTTGGAATCCCGAAGGGAAGCTGAAAAAAGGAAGGCCTAAGAACACATTACGTAGGATAATATAAGCAGATATGAAAAGGATGAATAACAACTGGAAGGAGCTGGAAAGGATTGCCCAGGACAGGGTTGAAGTGCGAGTGCTGGTTGACGACATACGCTCCTTCACGAGGAGTAACAGGCATAAGTAAGTAAGTAAGCGAAACTGATAGGTCCTATGTTCGAATCTCGCGGGGTGCGGGATCGTGAATGCGCACTGCTGAGGATTTCCACACTAGGACGAAACGGCTGACCAGTGCCTCCCGGTTTTCAATGGTGGTCTAGCTTCAATTGACTCATGATTTCAATCAGTGGTCTATGTGTTAGTCAATGTGTCAGTGTGTGTTTCTCAGGTCTCATCTCAAATCTGTTCATTGAGGAAACTGTGGTCACTTTGAGTGAGAAGAGATGCTGAATAAAGGTGACTATAAGTACAGAAACGTGGTACCGCACCTAGGGTTTTATTCGTTGGTGTGCAATTTTCTGAGCGTTGCCCTGATTAACATAATGGCGATGTCCGATTGGGGTCTTTGTGTCCATTTCATTTGACTTCAATTAAGTCATATGATAACGTTATAAAAATATGAATCCCAACAACCCCTCCCCTGAATAACTGATGACTAAATTCACTTTTAAGAATAATGTAATAAATTGTGTAAAATACGAGAATTATTTTGGAATACGTATGTTTCGTACATTCGTTGATCCGGACCGACATTCAGAATGAGAAGCGAGAAAGAAAAACGAAGCAGAGAAGGCAGGTGAGCCAACTCGATATTTATAGTGTGACAAAAAAAATTACAGACAGTCAATGAGTTAAGTGAGCACTTAACAAACACGCTCATATAACAATTCAATATTAACAATCGTTGACTGCCTACTGGAAACGGATACTGAAGTTTGTGTGGATAGATGTTTCATCACATTTTGTAAGAGATTCTGTTACCAATTCTCCGGTATCAAACACTTATTTATTAATCATTCCTTTTGATGAAACAAAATGAACCATTTGAGCCGCGCGCTACGGACTGGACGTTACTTTCAGGCCGAGGTTTTTAGTTTCACTTTTCTAGGATTCTCGCATAGCTGGATGAATTATTTTTTCTTGGAATTATGGAAAATAACTCTATTCTTAACTATTAGCATATAAACTGTGAATTTCATGCCATATGATAAGTTCTGAGTTCAACTTACAGTATTTATGATCATATTCATACAATAATTCATAATCATATGATTACATATATTCATTTTGACTATACGATCAAACTATACTTTGAAACCGTATATAATCATATTTGACGAAGATTTGCATTTCATATCTGTATTCTATTTCTTAAGGAATATATGATTATATCGTATTTGAATGCTTTAACCCACGTACTTTATGTATCTACAGGATCTATTCAAACCTCTACCTAATATCAAGAAATATATATAACCGTGTATGTTAAAGGACTGTATTCACTATTTTATTAACTATCATTTAAATCGTATTTGGATACTATAAATTATTTCATTTCCGAAATTACCTGTCCAATTCGGTGAGTCTGTCATAGTTTGTTTTTTTGACAGTGTTTTTTTCCAAAAAGCTGTTTCATATATTTGTTCAAGAAGCAACATAATAACTTTAGACGGTAATAATCTTCTAAACTACTTATCTCTGCACCTCCCAATTTTTACTAATACGGACTTTCAGTTTATATATGTATCACATACCGTACTTTTTTTGATTGTTTGATACTAATTATCGACATTTCTAAATTACTTTACTATATAAGGCTATCTTTCGTGTCATATATGTTAAAATTTATACAACTTGCTCCTTTATATTCTATTTTGCCTCCACACAGATACTGACATAAATACTTCATCTCCACTACTATCTTCCTGCCATTGTCATCTTTTGTTTTTAACACCACTAATCCTCACGATACATTCACTCTTGGTTAAAACATAGATTTTGATTTTTAGACTAACTTGAGCCCTCGGAATTGATTTTTTCACCCCTATTTCCAACATTCTGTTCAAACCACTTGCTATACGTCACTTTATCATGTCACAAAAGAAAATGAAGACCCCTGCTCCTAGGCGTTCAGCCAAACGTAGGAAAACGACACAATTTAACACCTCTACCGATACGATTTCCAACAGTTTCAACGAGACGTGCCACTCCGTTCATCCGGAAGCAGACAGGCTTTTACCAGTTGTCTCCATTCCAGACATGTTGAAAACTCTGATGGTAAACAGTGATGATAATCGCAACTGCAACTATATGGATGCTATAAAGAAGTTGCAAGTAGACATGAACATTCTCAATCCGCTTAAATATCTCATCAACCCCAACCTCACAGAGACTCCAGATCAAATGAATGACATAAATATTTTCCTAGATCGTGTTGCATCAGAGGTATTTGAAAGAATAAGACGATCTAG